CTTATCAAAATGATTAAAAACAAAATTTAATTTAGCCTAAATTACAAAGAAAAAAGAAATTTACATAGTAAACAATATATAATAATAAGATAATATTATTTAAATATTCAGTGTTACGTATTCGTATTATCTTCCATTAAATCTAAACATTAACAAAATAACAATCATATTAACTATAGACTTTATGCATATTTCATATTATAAAATATTTAACATACCACGTTCATTATTTGACATAATACTACCGTTAATCGATTTTGCATCTAAGAAAATAAAAATTTTTGAATTATTTGACATTATAATAAGCAAAAAACAAAAATTTCTAAGAACTTATTTCAGTTTACCACTATCATCTTGGAATTCATCCAAAAGTCTCTCCACTTCTTGTATAGAAAAGCGATCGTCATCGTCTTCAGAAATAAAAGACCCAGGTGACAAGCTTCTACGTGCTCTACTTGTGGATCTTCCAGACTCTATTGATTTAAAAGAATCCGGCGAGGAGCTTCTAGTAACAACAACTAATCCCGTACTTTCTTGAGAAGGCGATCTTCGTCTAGACCATAGATCGCTATTTCGTCTAGAAGAACTTGTTGTTCTTACGTCCAAAGATGATCCCATTGGGCTTAGAGATTGTGATACGTTATACGATTTGCGACGATCAGTCGACGGTCTTTTACCAAAAAGACTTGCAAATTTCATTCCATCTGACATTAGTGAATTAAATATTTCACGTCCTAATCCTTTTTGTCGTTCTTCAACCGGTTCAACTAACTGGAATGTCGCTGCGAAACCGATATCGAAAAAATTTTCTAAATATTCATCCGATAAAACCACCTCACGGAATAACGGAAGTGACAATACAGTATCATCATCGTCCTCTGTGGATGAAGTATCACTATTATTTGAATCTAATGATTTTTCAGAATAGGATTTTATAAATGCATTCTTGGTGAAGTTTGAAACCGACCCAAGATTTTCATCGTCTTTTCGAAATCGGAATATGAATAAAAAACTTTCTGACATCTGTAAAATTTCCTCTTTCGATAGGTATCCATCTTTATTCGTATCATGTAAATTGAAAAATAATTCTATTCGTGACAATATATCTCCAAATTTAATTTCACCAAGTCCTAAAACAACATCTTGAAGTGAGATTCCACCGGACGATGATTTATCAAAATATTCAAATAGCTTATTGATAATTTTATAACCGACGAGTCTATGACCTTGACTATCCCTGATCACAGTATCATTATTACTAAATAAATCATTGTCATCCAATTTTGCCCAATCAGCAATACTTCCTAAAAAACTATAAAATGTACTTAGATTCATTCGTGAATCATTCCGTGAATCATTTTTTTGTTTTCCATAAAATTGTGCTGTAGAAAATTTGTCATAAATAATGGAGATATCTTCTTTAGAAAATTTTAAAGTATTTTGAAGATTTCGTATTATGCTCCTTTTTGTAAAACTCTCAATGTTATGGACTACTTTGAGTTGATGAGTTTTTCGAAGTTCGATTAAACTTTCAGTTGTAATACTCTCAAATTCTTTAAAAGCGACAACCATTAGCTCATTAAATTTAGTTATCTCTCTTATTTTTGGATTTTTATTGTCTGGATGTGCAGGTTTGTCCAATGTTGAAAAGTAATGTTTCAGCACATTAATAAACGCTCCATCATCAGTAATTCCTAATAGTTCTTTTTTATTCACCTTAAGAATTGCTAGAATATATTTTCTTATATTAGGCTCATCTAAGACTTCTATAAAGCTCATCTAAAATTTTTAGAAATACCTACCCAGTCTATTCGTAACAAATCGAAATTTAACATAATTTTTAAAAAAAGATGTTAACATTAAAATAATAATTTATGGTGGCAAGATTAAGTTAACATATTACCCTATTTGGAATAAAACTTTGGGGCCTTCCATGAAGAAACAATCAAGTACTCGAAAGGCATAAGTGAGAGGCATCGAATTTATGTAAAGACTTAAAAACCATGGAAAGCAAGCAACTGTTAACTGAACATCTACGCTTTGAAAATGACTATAGAGTGATGGCATCTTCATTTGAACATAATGATCGAATATCATTTGGTCAAGAATCGCACCATACATAGAAGTGCTTTAAATCATAGCAGAAGAAATAATTCACAAATCAAAATTACATAATTTGAAATATTATAAACAATCAATTATGAATAATCTCAAACCTATAATATCCAGGTAGCATTCTATCACATAATACACTCAGAATCCAAAATGCTTGTTCTTCATTCATATATCTAAATAAAGAAGCTTGTTAGAAAAGAAGGAGTGAATATGATTAAGTTACTACACTTACATCAATAGAGCTGATACGACAATATTCATTGCCTGACAATATCCTAATTCAGGATCCTTCCAAGAATAAGCAGTCAATACACGTCTTAACTTATTGATACCTTCAGGTTTCTGGTATGCAGGATATTCAGGAAGTGACCTGATAATATAAAAGGTAAAATTTAGAATTTAGGAATAAAAATATCCATAAAATCTTAATTTACCTGTTCAAATCTTTTTCAATTTCTTCTGTGGAGAGAGAAGATTTACCCGAATACTCTTTATGAAGTTTATCATATAAACCATCATTTATGAATCTCAAATACATTGCACCAGAACATAATTCCCACATTTCTCCGCGCAGTCTGTTTGGTAACCCAGCACGAACCAGTTTTTGAAAATCCGGAAGTTTAATAAGAGTCAAGTTTCGGCCATTGGCTGATAAAAAAAAAAGCATCAATCAGAATTTTCTTTTTTTATTTTTTTTTTTTTGTGCATAAAACCGTTGAAAGAGATATGTATTTATAAATTAAACATACCCTGCATATATTCGGTCCAAAGTTTCGTTTTATAACGGTCTCTTTGTCTACAAAGTAAAAAATAATGTTATAAATATTATACACATACTATTCATTATAAATAAGAGAACCAACTTTTTAGCATCCCCTGGAAACCCGAATGTTAAACCCAGCCCTATGGAAGAAGACTCCTCCTTTTTAGAATCCAATAAGGTTTCTGAAAAACAAGTATTTAAAAATGATTTTAAAGATTTCATAAGACGGACTTGGTCTTTTAAATTGTCCCTAAGAATCATGCAAAACTTTTCAATTGAGGTTTTTGGCATATTGATTTGAAATAATAATCTCATTTTATGCCAATTCGAGATGGATAAAGCAAAAGCATGTGTTTTACTATAGAGACGTTCAACTCTTTGCACGGTATACAAAGGTAAAACTAGACTACATTGTTTTTTGTCGGTAGATTCAAATGTTAGGTAACCTTCCGAAAGCTGAAGTTTACCAACATAAACATCTTTCGTTTCAGGCATTACAAATTCGCAAGTACATTCTTGCATCAAATGTTCTGTTATGGGCAGATTATATAATACTTGAAATTCTTTATCACGTTTTTGATCTTCGAGATTTTTTCTTAGGGGTGGAATCATTGGTGATAAAGGAGGTTCTGGTGTTAAGGGGGTATTTGGTCTTAGATTCTCAGTAAAGTTTTCGACATCATATATAAATCCTGGAGCCGGTTCAAGTGTGGAATTTTTCAATATTCGCTCCATTGACAAATTTGTCAATTGTACTAATAAATCATAAGTCTACAAACGACAGTTTATATTTAGCACATTTATTTATTCACATCATTTAAAGCGAAATTATTCAATCGACTTACTTCGTCACGATGAAAAAGATTCGAGTGCATACACATTATGTATAGTACTAAAAACACCTCGAAGTATTGTGTTATTGCTATTACTTGAAGCTATTGTTCTTTGAAGTATAAAGTGTTTAGAAGTAGAAAGTTTAATGACTTCCCAAAAGGGATTGGAAGATTCACAAGGAATCGGTAGCGTAAATACTCCTCGTGGAGGATCAATATGAGAACTCATTTTAGGTTATGTATTAAGCGGGAAACAGAAAGGAATAACATTTCTATGAAACCTCAGACCTTTCCTTGCATTGCTGCAAGGTATCGCATGTACGCACATGATCGATTCTTATTGGCAGAATCTTGATTTTCCTATTTTTCCCTAATAATAAATTTTGTTTGTTAATTACATAATTCAGATTATTATCTGGATACGTAGCATTGTAAAAGTTCATAAAGAAACGATTGACAATTTATATGGATCAACTGACATTTTATAGTACCAATACTAAGTAAATTAAAATGTTCATTAATCGATGTTTTATCTTCTATTTTTGTTAATGCGTGAAAAGATTGGTAAATAAAAGCGCGAGATGAAGAATCGGGTAGGCCCATGACGTGAAACTTGGTGAGTACAGTGTGAAACTAATGTAGGTTTTGCGAACTATAAGTAGTTAAGCGGGTGTGTGTTATATGCGCCTAAAATTAATTCGACCGGCGTTAAGAAATTATGCTATAATCTTGGCTAAATATGTATGCATACGTACATTTTTCGCATGAGTCATCGATATCTTTCAGGTACTAATATATAAAGCCCGTTTCTCAAATTAATTAATTTCTGTGCAGAATACTGCTTTAGGCGCAGTCCCGCTTACTTGACAAAAACCTAGATGCCGCAACAAATTTTGAAGGAACCATTCGTATAAGGAAATGATTCCGATATTGTTACACGATTTAAATAAATTTTTATACGTTTTTATAATACGTTACTTTAAAAAAAAACTTGCATATATATATATTTTTTTTACTAGATAAGCATACTACTGTACTAAGGGCGTTCTCAAGCATCTCCCTCAATTAGTGATCATGGTCGATAGAGGAAAAAATCGGCTAAAGCAAATTATCGGCTTAGCCGGTCGATTTTAATCGGCTGATCGATCTTGTTATAGCCGGATTGTGTCATTTTTAAAATACGAGTAAGGTTAAGGCCAAATTTTTAAAAAATTTTAGTAAATTCCAAAAAAATTCTGGATTCAGTTTTCATAATTCTGATGACCTAATTCGATAAGTTTAGAGTTCGGCCGAAGTCAGTTACCTATTGATTCTGACTCGGTAAACTTATCATTAGAGATGTTACAGCTGTTTTCATAATTCTGGAACAAATAACCGAATCGATAAGTTACCGAATCGGAATCAATAAGCAAAAATCTCTAAAATTTAATAAACAAAAAAACCAGTTTTTTGTAATTATCTTGGCAACTAGTTGAATGAACCTTTTTTTAAATGAAAGCTCTCAGTAAAGCGTATTTAACATAAAAAGTTTATTCAATTCTGATTACTGGATCTTGAGATATTTAAAAAAAGTGAATTTTTAGTTTTTAACAAATTGGACTAAAATTGGTCAAACTCTAGTTATAACTTATATTAAAGATGTTCAAGGTTCTTATATCTTATCAATATTCTTAAAGATAGTATTGTTTACTAAATATTTTAATAAGAATTGGAAGATTACTAAAACTGACTAAAAAAAAAGTAATATATTACTTTTTAGTAATATATCTTTTTAGTAAGGATTTTTTTTATTTTTTTTTTTTTAATTTTTTTTTTTTTAATTTTTTTTTTTTTATTTTTTTTTTTTTTTTTTTTTTTTTTTTTTAAAAAGTTCTTTTTTCTTTTTTTTTTTTTTTAAATTTTTTATTTAAATATAATTGTACAAATTTATACTTTTTATCTAAGGGGT